CACCGTGACACACATAGAAATTATTATCTCTGTAGGGAGTCTCAGAAATGAAATCAATTTCCCAGGACCTGCTGGAAGATTGCAACACTTTCAGAAAATTTTGTCTGGATTACAGGTTTACATTTACTAGAATTGCCTTGCTGGGAACTCATGCTGTATGACTCCCTCGGCCACTCAAAGCCCGGAACTATCCTCAGTTCCTTCACCCTCAAAGCCCGGAACTGTCCTCAGTTCCTTCACCCTCTACACATTAAAAGCAAATAACATGCTCCTTTTATATCCACCAAACTAGGACACGATGAAGACCTTTGTCTCTTGCCAATGCCAGAGCCCAAATCAGATTATCAAAAAATATTAACAAAAAGGCTGTGAAATAGCATTTACTGTTATTCCTGCTTTCACTTTCCTTTCTCCTTGAACTCTGCACAGCAGAGTTTGTTACTAAGTTAGAAGCTGTAAAACGTGTTGTCATTGTATGCCTGTATGACATATGCTAGAAGCTGGAAGAGGAAATGTCACTGAATTACAGAAAAAAGGGCTGGAAAGGTCCTTGAGAGTCCATCCCTATGCTTGGGCTGGATAATCCAGACTGAAACTACTCCTGAGAAACAGCTGCTTAACAGTTTTTAAAAGCTTGTGATGACGAAGGCACTGCAAGCTCCCCAGTCAGTCTCATCTAGCACTGTCCACACCGCTAGAAAGTCTGTGCTAATGTCTAATACAAGTGGGGGAGAACAGATAATTCCTCTGTGTGGCCACCTTTCGGTCTTGAAGATTATGTTATCCTCAATCATCTTTTTTAAAATAAACAAGGCTACTTCTTTCAATCTTTCCTTGCAGATCGTGTTTTGTATCCCTAGCCTTATTCTCCTAACTCCTCTCTACAGCCCTCCTGCAATGCATCACATGTAGCTGGACGTGGTGCTCCAGCTGAGGCTTTGCCCCTGGCAAACACAATGGAAGGACTATTTAAATCGTCTTATATTTTTACACATGCTAATAGCATGTTGAGTGTTTATTTTTTACAGCAAAGTCATCTACTGTAGTACGACTGAGGGTCAGATTAACTCCTTCTCAGACAGAAAGATGAGAAGGCTGTGCCAGGGCAGGGAGCGGTTGACTCCCATGTGCCAGACTTCCTTTCATCGTGCAGCCAATGGGACATGAACAAAGCAAATGAATTATGTGACTAATAATTATGAAAGTTTCCAAGGGACAAAGGAAACTTTCCAGTGGTTACAACTAGTGACAAAATGACAAGGCAGTTTGAATAATGCCCATAACCATCTGGGTCACTTCACTAACCATTCACTTAAGCAGTAGGACACTAGGCAAACTGTCTTCACCACTGCAGAGAGACAATTTTCCATTGTAAGTAGCAGTGGCAACAGTGAAACAAGAATCAATGCACAAAAAGCAGAGCGCTCTGGTAGAATTGTTTGAGGGTGGCCCTCTTTTGTTAGAAAAGAAACACAAAAAATGTGTGAGGAAACTCAGGAGCAGTAAGGTTAGGGGTCTGGGAACTAATTAATTAAACCTCAGCCCTACACAGCCCAGCAGGAGAGAACTGGCTTTTGGACAAAACTGTTGTAAGACTGTGTAACCAGTAGCACACCAGCAGCACATGGATCGTTCAGAGACATGTGAAAAGATGCTGAGCACCAAAGTCAACTGCTGATATGGCACTGATGTCAGGCTCAAGGCAGCTTGCCAAAAATAGTCTGTTGGCTGTTGATAAAAGCATTACGTATCTCGTAGTATGAATCAGGTTGAAAATACAAGAAAAGAGGTTACTCAGAGGATCCATCCCAAAGTCACTAGAATTAACAAAAGTTACCCCGAATTCCTCTTTATTCAGAAGTACATGGCCGAGTACTAACAGGTACTTAAGAAATGTGATCACGTGCAAGCTGTAACGTGTGAGCAGGAACCGGTTTGCATCAGAGATAATAAAAACCGGCTGCCGGCGGAAGGAGCTGGCCAAACTCCAGGGACAACTTAAGGTCAAACTGGAACTAAAGTCCTTGTTAAAAGGAGAGAGAAATTTGGGAAGTCGGGAGACAGAAGTGGCTGTCCTGCAAAATCGCTCAGCATTAGAATCAGTCCAAATGATCTCCGTGCAAAAAGAAAGGAGCTGTTCAAAGTTTACCTCAAATAACATCCCCCCCGCTGTAGATATAAAACCTGGAATGTACTAGACAGTTACCAGAAGTTCCAGGAGGGGGTGTGAACATGAGTACCAATTCTGAGGTGTGAGTTTGTACCCACCTTTCAAGAGGCCCATCTGCAAAGATAACTTTGCAACACTGCGACCGGAGCATGAGCTCTGTGGGCTGCCCATGCCCTAACAAGTGAAATGTAAAATTTCTGGGAGGTCTGCGATGGACTTGGATGGTTGTAGAGAACTATTTTCACTGTATGAAGCATTTACAGCACACTGGGGCCCAAATTTTTAATTCCTTATGTTTTACTGACAGATTCATGTTAAGGCCATAGCCAGCTTCTTAATGAGAGCTGAACGGGCGTTATCCCCTTCCTCTACCAGCCGGTAAGCTTAAATAGAGTTTCTCAGCTGACAGCCTTGCCCTGAGATTAGCGAGGGGAGCAATACCACAGGATGTTTTGACCTTTCAGGGGTAAGGCATGTCGTCCGCTTGCGAGGCCGCAGAGTGACAGCGGCAGCAGGGCTGCACCAGGAGGGTAGATCCTACAAGCACCTGGGGGTAGGTCCTACAAGCACATCTGGCAGCTCTTCGGTCAGAAAGGGAAAGCGCCACGTTGCCAGACAGGCTGCCTTTAGGGACAGAGGAAGAGCTAATTTCAACTATTTCACAGGGAGTCCTGGGCTCTGAACCCAGGGAACGGACTAGTTCTGGTTCTCGTCCAGTCTTCATGGACTGGGCGCTGCCACTTGTACAGCGGCTGAGACATGCCCTTTTGGATAGCCCCCATGTTCCCCCTCTGGCCAGGCAGCATTATGTCCTGTACAGCACACTGTGATCCTTTTGGAAGGGCACTGGATATACATTTACAAAGCAATGTAAAGCTTACATACCGAGTGCCTAATTTCAGCATTGGTAATGCAAAGAAACATAGAATTGCACAAAGTTGCAAAGCAATAATAATAAAAATCACCTGTGGAACTATTTTGTCAAAAATATTCAACGGGTTATTTTAAAGAGCAAAGTAGATTATTTAAACCCACCCTGCCCCTTTCTGTTCCTGCAGAGCAGATATCTAAGGTTCCTGTACCGATTTAAGGAAGCTTAACCCAGATACTGCTGTCGTGCCGCCAGGCAGCACAGGCGGCCATACAACTGTAAACCGAGGGACAAAATCAATGTTGTTATAGTTAATGATGAGGAGAAACCCTGAAGGGTGAGTGACCTGTTCGTTAACCGAGGAGCACTGAAATACCTGACATACCTGTTCCAGTCTCCTGGGGCGGGATTGCTAGTGGAAAATACCAAACTGCCCCCGGCCCCCCCCTCCAGCCAGCCATAAGTCTCCCAAGGCCAGCGGCGAAGGGGGACTTCTGACTGGAAGGACAGGGCGGTTAATTTTTTCCCCGGTTTATTACAGGCCGGCTCGGCGCCCCCCGCAAACCAAGCCTCCCCTCGCGGCCGCGGCTCCTTTAAATCCACCCCTTCCACTCACGCACACCAGCCCCCGCCGGCTCCTCCCCT